CCCAGTACCCATGTGGTGGCCAAAACCATCTGTAATGAGATCTGGTACCCTCTTCTGTGTACATAATAAATAAATAAATCTTTAAAAAAGAAGAGCTAAAGACCGCGCCCTCTTGGAGCTGGAATCTGCGGGCAGACAGATTCTAAAGGCAAGAAAAGATAAAGATCAGAAAAGTGTGTTATCGGTGAGCACAGGAAACCAGAGGATGGTCCTTCATAGCTGGGGTCCTCTGTAGCTGAGGTCCTCCATAGATGGGGTCCTCCTTAGCTGGGGTCCTCTATAGCTGGGGACCTCTGACGTGGGACTCGGATTTCCATAGTGCCTGATAAAGCTTAGAGGGGGAAAAAAAAAAAAAAAAAAGGAGGATACGGCTCCTTTGAAGTTTCTGCCTGCTGGCAAGCCCGTGAGCAGCTACTCCATTAAATAGAAACAAAAACTAAGTAAGCCAGGTGGTGGTGGCGCACGCCTTTAATCCCAGCACTCGGGAGGCAGAGCCAGGCGGATCTCTGTGAGTTCGAGGCCAGCTTGGGCTACCAAGTGAGTTCCAGGAAAGGCGCAAAGCTACACAGAGAAACCCTGTCTCAAAAAACCAAAGAAAAACAAAACAAACAAAAAACCTAAGTAAAAATGTCTGCCGCCGCCGAGCAAGCGTCAGCATTCGAGAGCTTTACGAAGGTTAAATGCAGTTCCTGGTCAGACAAACCTCCGACTGGCTGAGAGTTTCATGCTTGGCTTTCCACGGCTGGAGAAGCATGTGGAGTCAGCTGAGAGCCGCGTGTGGAAGATCTAGGTGTAGGTTAGCAGTTTAAAGGTTTGTTCATATGGTCAAAAAAGGCTGAAGATAGGCAATAAAAGAAGTCCAGATGGAAAAACCTCTAAACAGGTTACAATGTGCTTAACAATGTGTGTAGGCTTTTTCTAAGAAAAGAAAAAGGGTGTGATCCTAGAAAGAAAAGAATATGGCGCACGCCTTTAATCCCAGCACTCGGGAGGCAGAGCCAGGCGGATCTCTGCGAGTTCAAGGCCAGCCTGGTCTACAGAGCGAGATCCAGGACAGGCACCAAAGCTACACAGAGAAACCCTGTCTCAAAAAACCAAAATACTACTACTAATAATAATAATAAAGTCTTTAAAGAGAGGGTAAAAGTAATATAAAAGAAAAAAAGCCACGTAAGATGGGAAATACACAGGGAGTCTGGATTGTGAGGATTATGTTCTTAATTATGTCACCAGCCTGCATGGCCTCCCAGCCTAACCAACATGGATCATGTGTGTTATTGTGTTGATTTTGAATTTTTTGATTGTTGACAAGCAAAGGACAGCTGCAAAGAGACCTGGAATTGAAAGAGGGACGGATGAAATAAATCAGCCTGTGTACCTTAGGAATGCCTTAGCTTTTAAGGAGGTGGGGAGGAGGCAAGGAGCAGGAGGAGGTAAGGAGGGGGAGAAGGGACCACCTTGGCTGTAGAAAGCCCCACTGTCTGATCTTCGGGATGCCAGCTTCGGGAAGTGGTACACTATGGCACTGTGGCTTTTCTTCCAGCTGTATTCTCAGAGTCTGACACACAGAAGATGATCAATGGAATTATGTTCCCCTAGAGCTGAAATTACAGATGGTTGTGAGCCATCATGTGTGTCCTGGGACTCGAACCCAGGTCCTCTGGAAGAGCAGCAGTCACACTTGACCACTGAGCCATCTCTCCAGCCCCAGGCACAATGTTTTTAATACCTTAAGTCGCTTGCTATTTTCCTGCCTTCCTGTCACAGAGCCAGTGGGCCAGCCTGACCCAGGACGGGGGGTTTTGGGGGGGCACTTCACACAAACATGCTTGGGTCTGAAGTGTATGTGGAAGGGAGACCTCACTTGTAGAGCCAGCTTCTCAGTGACACACACAGCATGTGACAATTTACCAATATATGGTACATTACAGACCAAACATACATTTCTCCGAAGATGTCATGAAAATCACCCGATGTCATTAATCATTGGGGACATGCTGATCCGAACTCTGATCGAGTCAGGTATGGTGGCATATCTTATAATCCCAGCCCTCAGGAGCTGAGGCAGGAGGATCTGGAGTTTGGGGGCGGGGGGACTGTAAAGAGACAAGACTCTGGTGATCCTCAACACTGCATAAAACAAAAACAAAGGAATAAGAAAGATGACAGATTTTATTTCAGAATATAGGAGAGTCAACCTTAAGTGTGACCCCAGGAGGCAGCCTGTGTGTGTGTGTGTGTGTGTGTGTGTGTGTGTGTGTGTGTGTGTTGTGTGTGTGTATCAGTGGACAACTTCCAGGAGTCAGTTCTTGCCTTCCAACATGGGGGCCCAGGGCTTGAACTCAAGTCATCTCTCTCGGCAACATCTCACCAGCCCTACATTCTTTTTAGTAATATTTCTTCAATATCTACTTTGTATTTTATCCCTTTCTGTTCAGTTCTCAGAGGTTCCTTGCAGCCAGCGCTTGGCTCCATACCAGACAGTGTGGATCCACAGGGCCCAGCCCAGGGATTTTCTTTTTATGGGTACATGGCTGCAGACATCCTGTGTTCTGTAGTAAGTTTCTGCCACAGAACAGGCCACTCCTGGGACCAGAAGGTTATGTTGGACAGAGTGACAGGGGCATATGAAGTACATTTAAATAAAACCATTTTGTTTATTTTATTTTTGAGACAGGGTCTCACTGTGTAGCTCTGGCTGGCCTGGAACTCACTATGTAGACCAGGCTGGCCTTGAAATCAGAGAGAGCCTCCTGCCTCTGCCTCCCAAGTGCTGGGATTAAAAGCATGTCATAGCATGCTGAGCACTCATTTATGATGTGGTGGAAGAAGGGCCATACATAAGTGTGGGGGTCAGAGGGCAACTTGAAGAACTTCTCTCCTTCCGCATGTGGGTCCTGGGGATCAAACTCAGGTCCTCAGGCTTCACAGCAAGCACCTACTGAGCCGTCTGGCCAGCCCAACCGTTTGTGTGGATTTCAGAGCAGGTGACTGCTGGCCTCCAGGCTTGGTTGGAGAAAGAGCTGCTTAGTAGCCACAGTGACCAGTCACTCCTCCGATTCCACGAAGCCCAACTCCCTGTGCACTTCTGGACACCAAGGGTATTTTGCTCACACCCTAAAGAGCCCCAAACACCTTGGGCACTGTGGTCAGTCTAGATACATGTAAAAGCACGACTGTGGCTCCCTTTCGAGGCTAAGGGTGGCGCCTGCCCCTGACCTCGACCTGCCTTCACAGAAGACGCCCTGAGAGCTCTTCATGTGGGGCCTCTGCCTTCCTTTCCTGATAGCGGAACCCCAGGGTTACTTGGGCATCAGAAAGCCCAGCTCTGGGAGAGGGATAATGAACCTGTCAGTCACGGTCATCCAGCCTCCCTTGCAGCTAGAGTTGGTCTGACCCAATTGTGGTCATGGCGATATGAAGAAGAGTCTGCCTAGGGCAGTGGGTCTCAACCTCCCTAATGCTGTCACCTTTTAGTACAACTCCTCATGCTGTGGTGACCCCCAACCATAACATTATTTTCACTGCTGCTCCATAACTGTGCTTTTGCTACTGTTATGAATTGTAATGTAAATATCTGATACGCAAGGTATCTTCTATTCGACCCTGTGAAAGGGTTGTTCGGCCCCCAAAGGTGCCACAACCCACAGGTTGAGAATTGCTGGCCTAGGGGGTCTTAGCAAAGACAACGGGAAGGCAGCAAGGAGAGGCGTCTCTCCCCATGCCCCTACTGCCCTGCTTCAGAATATGGTGAGAGGGTGTGATGCCAGGAGTGGCCGCTAACCCAGCAGACGCATGCCAGCTCTCCCTGTCTCTCCGCTTGTGGGGTGGTGAGGTGTAGACGCCCCATTTCTTGAAGCCATATGACTTGGGGCTTTGCAGCTGAATGTAGTCTGAAGGCCGAAGTCATGGGTTCTACAGGCTTTGCTGGCCTCAGAACTACGGACTGGGAGACTGGGGGAGTGCCTGAGTTTTGATCCCCCACTGTGTGTGTGTGTGAATCCCCCCCCTCCCCCCAGCGTTCCAACCCAGGGTCAGTAGCCTCTCCCTGGGCCTTATTGTGTGCTAAGTAACTCATGGGCTTTAAAATTACATCTACTTATTCATTTATCCGTGTGTGTGTGTGTGTGTGTGTGTGTGTGTGTGTGTGTGTGTGTGTGT